ATGAACATTCAAGTGGCCAGCACAAAAGAAATCCCCGACCTCTAGCCTCACAATGCAATCGCCATGGACAAAAGATCATGGGACACCGGTCACACTGAACTGGAAACACAAACCCACAGTGGCATCGGCTCGGCCCACAGATCCTCCTGGGGATGAGCTTCCTGTGAAAAGTCCTAGTGCCGTGCTCAGCCACAGCCCGCTGAGGAGCCAAGCTGCTCCCCTCTGCACTCCTGGCATTTACACCGCTGCCATCCTTAAAAAGATGGGTGCACCCCTGAGGGGGTCCAGGACTCGCGCTATCTGACGAGGTGATCGCTTGACTTTTCCTAGAGGTACAGGTTTCCACCGCCTGTGTGAAGGGAGAGGGTTATTTGTTCCATCCTGAGATGAGACATTGTTAGAAATGAGTGACACACCCTTCAACCCAGCCCTGCCTCCGAGTAGGTACAAGGAGCCTCTTAGTCCTCATAATTGATTCTCAGGCCTGTAGCAGTCTCATGCAGCGGTTGCTGAGTCCACACCGAGGGTGTGATTCTAGCACACTCGCACAGCCAACACAGGGCCAGCCTCAGACACATGATGGTGGCATCGTTTTTTAATCAGCTATCTGAGGAACGTTTATCTAATCAGCAAAGAGTGCTGTCAGAAGGGGACCAGAGGTAACATTAATAAGCCTGTGGTTTCCTGGTACAGTGACAGAGCAAGAGCTTAGGATAAAGCCTGCTCGCTTGAGCGAGCCAGTGGACTAAGGAATCTTTTTATTCCATGTGTAAGAAGCCAGTCGAAAGAGTCTTGCGTTGGAGATCTGCTCTCTGATAGGTTTTCCGGCATTCATATGCTGAAGTAAAATAAATTTTGCTTCATTTTAGAGAAACCAGTTTTCCAAAAAAAAGAGATTTTTTTCCTTTAGAAAGAAATGTCCCCATGTTGGCGCCAGAGTGTGAACTTTGGACTGAGGTTAAACACAAGACTCCCTTACAGATATCGCGCGCCCTCGTGGTTGCCCTAACCCATATGAAAAACTGTGACTTCCAGAAACAAGGAGATGTGTAATCATTGGAAGTTGTTAACTCTAAATGATTCCAGCTACTCTAACTTGGTAGAAAGCCATAATTTGCACATTATTTTTCCCTTTTCTCTCTGTCTTTCGAAAGATTGCGACTGTCTGTTAGTAATTATGAAAGTTGAGCATATTTGGCATACCTCGCTTGGCCACGCAGACAGAGTTCCTCGTTTGTCACCGTCAGGTGCCCTTGAGAAAGGGCCTGTGAGTTCAAGTTTGTGCCAGTCCTCTTCAGTAGACGGCTGACCCAGGGTGCTGTCCACCCTATCTGCCAACCTGGAGGCCCACGGTACAAAAATAACTGAATGACCAAACGTGAGCATTGCCACGCTTCCCCACACCAGTATGTAGGGTACCAGAGGGATTGCCTTAAAGATTCAGTGAGCCAGCACCTCGAGTGCCTGCAAGCAAGTACCAAGGGTCTGTAAGGAAAATCAACAATTCCATTCTTACATTACATAGCGGTACACTTTTGTCGTCCTAATTTGGGGGCTGCGTGTCTGTACTCTTTTTTTTTTTTTTTTGGTACTGGGGATCGAACTCGGGTCCTTGTGCTTGCGAGGGCAGCAGCAGAACCACTGAGCTGAATCCCCGGCCTGCGTGTCTGTACTCTTAACCTAAGTTTTTCACAGTTTTGCTGCTCGTCATCCCTAGACGAGACATTCTGAGCAGTGCAGTGAGGGTTTTGTATCTCTCCACTTCAACTCCCGCCCTCTGCATTCGCTTGTCCCACCTCTCACTGCGATAACCCTGTAGCAGCCTTTTGCTTAACCCCGGTGCCCATTTCGGCACTGTGATGGGGCCCGTGTTGTCCTGCTCTGCTCCCTTTCCCCAAGCCCGCTGACTTCTCTGCTGACCCAGGTTAAAGTTGAGAAAGTTCGGTTTAGTTTGCAAGCTGGAGTGAAAAGAGATGGAGCCCACAGCTTTGCACCTGGGCTGGCAGTTTTAGTTTGCACCAGACCTGAAGTGCAGGTCATGGTCGTGGGATTTCGTGTCTGTCAAGGTTCGGATCTGAGGGTTCAAATGTTGGAGGTGGTGCTGAACTGCAGCTGTTTAAGCAGAGTGAGGACCTGTGTACAGAAGAGGCTGCTGCTCACTCAGTAAGCAAAACTGTAGGATGGAAACACTAACAGAAAGCTCACACCCAGCTGCCTTTTCATTCCTTAGCAGGTGGGATTTTGATGTTAAAATAGTGTTTTTGTGGGATATAACATTAATGACAAGATCAAAATGTTACTCTGTATTCCTGAAAGTTTAAAAAAAACTTTAATTAAAATCACGGTTGCCCAGGAAGGTCTTTTGAGCTAGTCCCCTTGAGGTCCAAAGATGTCACAAACTGCCAAGGCCTGAGGCCAGGGGACAGTGCCATGGTGTGTAGTGGTCGGTGGCACAAGGCACCATCAGATGGGAGTGCTCCGGGTTCTGTTTGACAGAGTGTCCCTGGTTCCCCTGGAAGTGAAACCAGACAGAAGCATCAGACGTACCCTGAGATGTTATCGATGATAATATGATTGTATTTTCTCGCTGAGAAGCTTCCAAACAAGGCGACTTAGAGCAATCAATGCCCCAGGAGACAAATGCACATATCAGGACCTTGGTATCAGCCAGAAAATGGCCATTTGTTTAAGAAGAAGGAAAAGGCATGACATTTTACACATTAAAATTGATTATTTCATCAATAGGTTAATAGAAAACCAGGCTGCAAGTTCACTTCCTGCTTATACATCCCTACAGTAATGGGAGATCAGAGTATGAAAAATGCTAGGGATAAAGCAACCAGGGAAAGAGGTTTCCTGCATGTGAACACCCCTCCCTTCCAGAGGGGTACCCAGCCGGATTCTGCCTATTTATATGTAAATGTTTTAGAAAGAGGCAGAGGGGATCGCAGCCTGTGCTCAAACTGGAGGTAAAATCTGAAAACTCCGGAGCTTCAGCTGTTGGAAAGTCAAGCACATCCTTAATTCTACAGACACTCGATCACACACACCTGGAGAGCCTGGTGACGTTTCTAAAGAATTTGAAAACTGACCAGCCTGCTTTCCTTCATTATTAACAAACTGGATTTGCTCTGGACGGTACCCAAAGATCCTTTTGCCAGTGTGGTGTGTCCTGAGACAGACCAGACCCTCAGGTAGGACTTCACAGGTAGTTAGGAGACCGTGCAGATCCAGAAATGCAGGAAGCTTCTCCACTGTGGAACATCCAATGCACGTCCATATATGGTGAAAGGAAGGCTTCCATCACCGGTAGGGATTACATTTCCTTATAAAGTGTCTGTTGATACTCAAACCATCAGGTAATTCTTGGGTGTTCAGTTATGACAACTTTTTATCATTTTTAAATCAAGAAACTAAGTCCCAGTTCATTTTTCCTCTGGTGGTTAATATAAGATTTGCATCCTGAGTATACAGTACTATATTTCAGAATTGTATTTGTTCTTTTTACAGGTAGGGTTTCTTGCATGTACTGTTTTCTGTTGTGGCTCCAAGGAAATCTAATGTGCACAAAGAAGCCCAGTGAGATTTGCTTTGGCAGCAGAACTTATCAGAGAGTCCTGGTCATCCCCCCAGTCACTTTCTGGCCACCAGAACTTGGTACAAACACAGAGCCTGAAACCAGGCTCTAAACCACACTTCTCAAGGTTGAGAATTTGTGCCACTGCAGCAGGCAAGGAAGAGTTAGCCGTCCTGAGGGACTGCGGTGGAGTTGGAGAGCCGACCATCGGCCAGGGCGCACCTCGCGGTGCCGAAGGGTCACCCTGGCTGCCAGTTCTGAGCATCACCAGCCCTGTGAGGTGTGAAGGGCTGCAGGGCCAGGTGACCACTTCTTCACTTCTCCCTTACATTAGTTATCCAAACAGAGCTCGATGGATGCTCCAACTGATTTCTCTTCCTGGATGTGAATGTTCAGAGACAGATGGCCCCGTGGTACCTTTCTGCAGGAGTGTGAGTGATTGTCACCGCTGCTGAGCCTGTCCATGTGTCTCCTGCGTGATGGGCCCATCCGTCCAGTCTTTTGATGTGTGGCTGCATCTTCAGCCCCTCAGGGGCCACTCTGTTTCCCTGTTTAGCTCTCCACAGTGTCTCCTGAAGGACTGAAGGAAATCCTTGTGTTGGCCTCTTCTGGGCCACAGGTGTTGGCATCCCTGAGCTGATGGTTGGGAGGGTGGAGGCCAGGCAGGGTGGAAAATGTGTCCCTGGAGACTGAGGTTCCATGTCACCCCAGCAGGTCACTGCTGCCAGCCTGAGGGGCCAGTGTCCTGTCCCCCTAGGTAACTAGGCTCCCTGCAGAGAGCCTGTGAAGCCATTTGTTCTTTGGGCTCCTAGGAGCTCCTTTCACAGCCTGCCATCCTCCCAGGGATGAAGGGTAGAGGCCTCCACCCGTTTACCACCCCAAGTTCTCCTGGGGCTTTGCTGCTGTGGGTACCACCCAGCTTGGAGTCTGCCTGGTGAAAACTGCTTCCTTTCCCGAGATAGCTCTCAGTTTTAGAGCCCTACCTTCTGCAAACCAAACTGCTACTGGCCAGTCTCTGGATTTGACATGCTCCTAATATTCTGCCTCGTGAAGAGCTCATGGCTCCTGGATCATAGCTCATTCAAAGGAGCCCACGGCCCCCAGGAAAAGGCCAGCGTTTGCCCTGCTTTGAGTAGCCACTGTTTGCAGAGGAGGCGCATGCATTTCTTTGCCTGGACACTTCTGTGATTTTGTGCAGACCCAGAGCACCACTGCCTTTCCGAGCCCCTCAGTATGGATGACAGGGGAGAGGCAGGCCAGGCCTGGGAGCCCCGCAGATGCCACCAGCTTCACGCGAACCCGAGGCTCGGAGATGACTTCATGTGCTACTTTGACATTTCTTTTCTCCCCTTTTTCATTTGTTTTCTTTTCCTTTTTGTTTTCTCTCTTCTCCCCCTTTCCCCTCTCTGCTGTCGGGATGCAGCCAAACGCAAAGCATGGAAACTAAACCGTGTTGGTAGCCTGCGAAATATATACAGCAGCAGCACCAACCCTGAAGGTAACGCCTCGCGCCTCACCACCTCCCTCCGTCCTCCGCTGCAGACGCAGAAAAGCGCCCGCCCGCCGCATGCTCCGCTATTGTGTTTGCAGACTCATGTTTGTGGTCTCCTCATCCTTCTGTTTGTGTGTTTTATTTTACCATTCATGTTCCTTTCAGCTTACTTAAATTTTGACCTTTCTCTCCCATCGTAGAGTAGTGATGTTTAAATTACTTCAGAAACCTATTTTCTCCTCTTTTTTCTTTTCCTTTATACATGTGGGCACTCAATGTAATATTTCCCAAGTTATTACAGTTTTTAAGAGTGTTAGTATCAGGTGTAATGATCTGTAGCCAAATACAATCGTGTGCCGTGACATTTAAGTAACAGTCTTAATTTGTTTTGTGGAAGCATTCTCTATAATGCTGGCTGCAGCTCTAATCCAGAGGCAGGCAGGCCCGGACCATTTGCATGGGCTGCTATTGCTTGTAAATTCAGTATATTGTTGTGTTTCTAAAGGTCGTCTGGTGCCAAAGTTCACAAATTGACTTGCAGTGCTGTTTTCACCGAAGACAGCCGTCATTGCTTTTGTATAATAGCAGATTGAATTTTTCCCCCACCTTCATTTGAACAACACAATTATAAATTGCCTTTTTTTATGATTACAAATGTCAAGGGTCAGAATTATTTTGATGCCAGGCAAGGGAAAAACCAGCACCATCAGCCAGAGTACATGGAAGGGAGGCTGGTGCATAGTGTGTGTGATGCAAAATAGGTCACAATCCAGCGAGCTCGGGATAATAGGGGGAAGTTTTTTTTCACTTAAGTGCAAGCCAAATGGGTCAAGTAATCGCGAGCTCATGCCCTAACACTAATTGACTTATTTGGGGATGATTATAACTGTAATATTTTTCTTAATGTCACTGTTTTCTGGGCTGTTGGTTTTAGCGATTGCCAAGCGGTGGCATTAAATCTCTTGTAAATTTTAAATTGCACACTATTTCTGTAAACAAGTCCCTTCTTCACATCCCAGTCATTAACCTTTGCTGATTTATATCACCGTCCTCTTTTTCTTCCTTTCACAATTATTCCTGTCTCGCTGCTGAAAACCCTGCTCTCAGCCAGGAAAAAAAAAATGAATTTGGAAAACAAAACTACATTTGCACGATGGCTTGTTAAAGAACTGTTTTCTGATCATAATTTTTTGTTGTTGTTCCTTAAGGGAAAATTGTCTGTTAAGATACCAGTGGAGCTTGACCCGTTGGTGTCTTTTCTCCAGCACAGAGAGAGAGAGAGAGAGAGAGACAGAGAGAGAGAGAGAGAGAGAGAGAGAGAAAGAAATAGGATTCAAGAAACAGTTCCATTCAGTATCATCGCATTCTGGAGGGTGTTAATGTACTCTGCTATTTTTTAAATGTTACTCTTTCAGCCCAGGGTGCATATCATTTCTCTTCCCTGTGTCCTTATCAAGTATGTGTTGCTTTTGTATGCGTGTGGATTTGTCACAACCAATTTATTTATTGACTTCTAGCCTTTAAAAACAAAGTTGTGAGGTCTGGTTTTAAATGCCGTTGAATACCAACCTGGGGGACAGTAGATGCAGGTCAGCCCCTCAGCCCGAGGGCAGGTAGCCCCCACCTGAGACCTGCTGGGGCCCTTCCGGAAGACACGGTGGGGCTGGCACAGGACTCCTAGCGCACAGCGTGACGTTTCTCAGGAGTGTTGGCTCCACAGCCTCACTGATCAGGTAACTCGCTGTGTCCCTCACTTGCTCTGCCTGCTCTGTGACCACTGGGCAGCTTGGGAAGCTGGAGCTTCCTTATCAGCAGCTACCACAAGGCAATCGTGCAGTTTCCAAAGTAAATAATAACTACAGAGCCAATTCCCCCTCATACATTCTCCCATTTTTCTCAGTCATAGTAAGTTTCTGTTCTGTGTTCATTTACATTTATAATTTTTCAGTTAAGCGACCTGATCATTCTTCATGTACTCTGGGTCTCTTTTAAGAGTAATATCTTTACACATACAATCTCATTTCATACAACTTTTAATAGCATATTACAGAATTCATATAATTACATACCTCATCGAAATCCCTTTCTGACTTCTAGCCTTGTGATGTAAGATGTTATCCCTTATTCACTGTCTATAAAAGAGTTCTTTATGAACATTTGTTTGCTGAGCATTCAGATTTGTGTTAGAACCTGAGGCCTGGAGTCAGCACTAAATATTCCCTTCCTGAAATACAGTATTTTTATAAATACTTCACTTGAATAATTTATTCAAAGGAACCCAGTAAACACCATGGAAATCAGGTTGACACCAGAGTTAAGTTCCCTGTAGATTGTTAGAACTGAGCCTCAGTAATAAGGAAGTGAGGAAGGCCATAGAAGCCAGAATGTGGCTCAGATGTTCCCGACCCTCCAGGGGACATGGGATCCCAAGTGACAGGGCCATGAGACCAAGTGAGGCCCATGGTCTCTCTGAAGCTCCCTTTCTTGTGTCTCCACTTTGTTCTGCCTGTAGACTAAGTTCTCTCATTTAATCATCACAGTCCCCTGCCAGGTGGGGATTGTGTCACAAACAGGAAGTCCGGTGGTTTTTTACAAAACCTGCTAACACATCCTGGACACAGGACCTACGCCCAGATCTCTGTTCTGGGACCTGCTCCCAGATCCCCATGGGAGGGGAGATGGCTGGGCATCAGAAATGGCTGAAAACAAACCAATGTCACGAGGAAATTACACATAAAGATTAGGAAACAATCATTGTCTCAAATCTTCATTGTCTTTTGAAAATTGAGCTCTTTCTCAAAATGGGTGAAATTTAATTTCCCTCAATAGGAATAGGACTTTAGTCTGCATCTCAGAAGCCTGTGCTGTGGGATGGAGGTACTCATGATGGGAATCTCCACTTAGCAGCTCCCTCCCCACCCAAGAAGAACAAAGATCTGTCTGTCGGGTGCCTGGGGCTAGACCTGGGAATGTTCCTCTCTGTGGTAAATTTTTTTTCTGGACGAGTACCAAGAGAACCGTGTAAGAGTGGGAACCATGGTACAGAAGAGGAGTCTCAGGGTGGCCTACTGGGTTACATCAGCATCTTCCCTCCAGGGCAGGATTACATCTGGGGAGGACTCATCCTCTCTCGAGCTCCCACAAGCAGCCAGAACACCAGCTACTGGGGTGGAGTGGGTGGATGGGCTCTCCCAAGGGAACTTGAAATCATTTTGGTGGGAGAAAAGCACTTCCCTGGATAAAGAATGACGTAGAGAGGATACTGGGTATTGGGGAGCAAGCCTACCAGACCTGTCCCCACCTCTTACAGTGAAGTGAATACATGACCACAGGCCACTCCCACTCCTACTGTAGCCTCTACCCTCAACCCAAGGACCAGCCAAGCTGAGTGTTGGCCTGATGTCCCACGCTGACCTCCTTGCCCTCCTCTATCTGAAAAGTGCCGTTTCTGTGGGTTCAGGCTTTGCCCGGGGCACAGCCCTGGGGAGCCCCTGCTCTGGGAACTGTTTACCCTACATGCGCCCTCCCCGCAAAGGCGGCAGGTCTGTGGGACACTCTGGTTCCCAGCAGCCCCTGGTGGGGTCAGGCAATCTCCCTTTGGAGGACATCACACCACAGATTGAGCTCTAGGCCTCAGTTCTGTGTCAGAGCCCCACACCCACCTCCTCCCTGGAGCAGCTGAGAAGGTCTCAGCTCCTCTGAGCAAGGCTGAGGAGGCCTGTCCTGCCTGTGCCTGCCACCATCAGCCTGAGACTTCACAGAGCTCTGTCACACCGGTGTCACATGCACACTCAAGGGCTGGTGTCCACCAAGGCTAAGCAGTCTCCTCATAGCAGTCCACCCCTGCTGGGATCCCCATCCTCTGGGCTTGTCCCTGAGCACATGCAAGGGGAGGTTGCCCACACTCGCTGCCCACAGAGCATGCTGGGAGATGAGGGAGATGCATTCTGAAAAAGGTCCTGCATGCTCCAGGGATTCAGTGGTGTGCAGAACTGCCTTTGATTCAGGGGTCAGAAAAGATGTCACATCTATGGGTGTATTAGACTAATTACTAGTCACCCCCAGTTTAGAGGAAAGAGGTTTATTTGGCTCACGGTTATAGAGGATGCAGTCCATGGTCAAGGTGGGAACATCATGGTGGAAAGCATGCCGGACCAAAGCTGCTTGGTTCATGGTGGCCCAGAAGCAGAGCAGGGGAGCAGTGCCAGAGACGAAGGGACCAGGGACCAGACATGGACCCTAAAGTCACAGCTCCATGGCCCACCCAGAAACACCCAGAAAAGAGCTTTCCTGACCTCCTGAGCTGCTCCCAGGCCAATCGAATGGACCATCAAGCTTAACAGTCACAGTGGGGCTTGACAGGAGCCATGGCCCCTGCAGCACCAGCATGAAGCGATTCCCGGAATCCTGTCATGGAACCATCCAGCACCATGGGTGTATCCCCTACATTTTATAAGAAAAAGCTGTGGCCAGAAGAAGGGTCACTGTGAGTCCCAGGGTCATGTTGGCACACGGAGATTGGCCTGGCATCATGCATTCCACGTGGGAGCAGCAGTCTAAACCCGGGCTGCTTGGTAAAGAGTGAGGATGGATCGAGAGGTGCAAATGCCTCTTCAGGGTCCAGTGGAGGGACCAGGTGATCTGCAGACAGCTGTCATCACCACGGAGGAGGAAGGCTGCCTGCCCCCCACCACCGCCACCACCTTTGCATTCGTGAGCGCTGGGCCTGCCCGGCAAAGTGGGGCTCGCTTCTCCCTGTTCCTGGGCACCCAAGGCGGCCCCATGCTTGGGTCCTTTTCCCAAGGACCCCCTGCACCATCTGAATGGAGCCCCCAGCATTTTCCCTGGCGAGTTCCCATCGGCCGGTGCGTGGCCTGCCCTCTGAAACCGCCTTCCAGGACAAAGTCTCACAGGGACCTTTCGTCAGACTCAGATGGGTTTCACTGCACCCACCATTGACTCAAACACTTGGAGTTGAGCTTTCGCTCTGGGTTAGAAATTTTGCA